AACACAGACTATGCCCATAAAAGAGGCGATGGGATTGGAAACCAGGCCTGTGAAAACAAACTCTAAAAGCCTCCCAGGGACACCCTCCTGAGGACAAAGTGAGAACAAGAAGAAACCCCTCAGAGAGTACCTGGAGGGGCCTGACAGACAGAGATCTCAAGTGGGCAGTGATGGGGATGCTCCTGTCGTGCTCAGGTTGGTAACTAGACAGTGTTAAGAGGATTCAGGCCTCTTCTGTTCCCTAACCTGGGCCTGCCAGTCATTGAACATTTGGACTCAGGTGCCCTGAGGATCATTGTTTGGGGAAAAAATTAGTAAATAAAGTTCACCATGAAAGATCAAGAACAGCAGAGTAGGATAGGTCTTGGATTTGTGACCAACATATTTGCATTTGAATCATGGCCTCACACCTACCAGTGAGTCAGTGAGTGACCTTGCTCAATAGTGACTACCTTTGAGCCTGCATTTCCTTCTGGCAAAAAGAAGTCAATAGAATTTTTGAAATAAGAATTGCTATGAGAACACTTTGGAAAGTCAGATGTGTATTGTAATTATCATTTCATTGTTGTTCTGTCTATTACCAAATGATCATCAGGCTAGTTCTATGGCTCTACTGTTGTTACAAATCTAATACAACAACTTCAAATTTTTTAATCAAACGGTGAGGGACTACAGTTCATTTTTTTTTATTTTTTTAACGTTTTTATTTATTTTTGAGACAGAGAGAGACAGAGCATGAGCAGGGGAGGGGCAGAGAGGGAGACACAGAATCCGAAGCAGGCTCCAGGCTCTGAACTGTCAGCACAGAGCCCAACGTGGGGCTCGAACTCACGGAGTGTGAGATCATGACCTGAAGTCAGACGCTTAACCGACTGAGCCACCCAGGCTCCCCCAGTTGATTTTTTAAAAAAGAGTCATCTTATGACTTATGGCCTGAATTAAAAATTCTTCTAGTGCATTTAGGGGCACCTGAGTGGCTCAGTCAGTGAAGCATCCAACTCTTGGTTTCAGCTCAAGTCATGATCTCAAGTTCACAAGTTTGAGCCTTGCATCGGGCTCTGTGCTGACAGTGTGGAGTCTGCTTGGGATTCTCTCCCTCTCTCTCTGTCCCTCCCTTTCTCATCTCTCTTTCTCTCTCTCTCAAATTAATAAATAACCTTTAAAAAATATTCTTCTAGTGTATTTAAATAAAATCCCCTGCAAAATGAAATAATAAATGTTCAGAAATGCATTGATTGCATATAGCAAGTTATACTTGTCAGGAAACTTTAAAACCTGGGCTCTGTGTGATGTTGACTTGTTGAAAGCCCCTACAGCAACTCATTTGCACCTACCCACCCAGGGCAAGGGTGCTCACCGAGAGAAGTAGAAGCTGAAGATGGGTCTGGTGAGCTGGCCCTGCTGCATCATGCTCTGAAGGACGGTTGGGCCATTCTGCACCGCCAGGTTGGGGTAGGCCATTCCCAGAATACCATCAAAGTATGAATAGTAGAAGGGGTAGTTGGGCTCATTCTCACTCATGCCAAACACCTGGTTGTGGATGACGATGTTCTGGACCTGGGACAAGCAGAAAGAAAAGATTCACAATTCAGGTGGACAAATCCTACATAGACTTAGGTGTCCAGGGAATGGAACCTAGACCCTTTTTTAGGGAGAAGAAGTTGGCTTCTTTCACGCTTAGCTCAATCCTAGGGTGGGGCACGGAAAATGAAGGGATGACAACATGACCCAACCATGTGTGTCTTGGAAAGAATGTGGGTGTTGGGGAAGTAGAGGCCATTGTTTTCTGGGGTGGCAGTTTTCATTTCCAAGGACAGTGTAAGGACAGTGGCTGGTTTTATATTGAACCGTCCACGTGCAAGAATGACATAGGACCCATGGGTGCTTGATGTAAAGAAAAGAAAATAGTGAAAGGAAGGTCTTCAAATATCCAGAGTGAAGTCATGTGGAGGAGGAAGCATATGTGCTCCAGGTGGTTGAAGAGGACAGTTAAGACCAGGGAGCAAGGTCATGGGGAGGCACAATGTAAAGAACCTGCAGCAGTCAGGACTGCTGTAGGGCTATCCCGGTCTTGGGAGAGAGGTTTAATTATATGGCCAGTGGTGTTCTTTCCAAGAATCAGCTTCTGGGAATTTGTACCTAATTAGTAATCATGGATATCGCTGACAGCTTAAGGCTCTAGAATAGGGGAGCCAAATGACAGACCCACAGGAGGATAAGAACAGCACTTACAGTCACAGTGTCATATCCCAGGAGCACAGTCAGGCTTCCAAAACCATAGGCCAGTGTATAGGTTTGCTCACTATTTCTGAAGGTGGAAGACGTTCTGGGGTTGAACTTGTTGTGATTGGCTGTGGAAAAACAGAATTAAATATTAGCAGCATTCTTGGCTCTCCAAAATACATATACAGCATTCGTGGCTCTCCAAAATACATGGCCTGGGACCATCAGACCAAGCCTGGGATTGGGCTTCAGCCTCAGACTCTGGGCTGAAGGCAATCAATAGCCCCAGAAAAGTCTGTCCCCTTGGGAAACAGATGTTGCCCCAATTCCTTCCAACCTACCATTTCCTGAAGCATGGGTCAACTCAAAAGTGCCAGGAATTGGGGCCCACAGGAGAGAGCTGAGGAAAGGGATCGATAGAGAAAAGAATGGAAGCCCTGGTCTACTTCTTTCACTTTCTAGAGATGCAGCACTTGTGAAATACAGACCAAGAGCAAGATTTCCAGATGTTCTGAATTTAAGGAGGCTGAGATCATGGATATGCACCAAGACTAGACTTGGTGCACCATCTAGACTTGGATGATGGGCTTGTGCTTAATCCTGACTCTGCGTCGCCCTCTGCTCCTATCTGTGGGTGGGCGGTGATGGTGGTATACTCACAACAGGCCTGGCTCTGGCAGTAGGTGGAGGGCACCCACAGGTTGGATGAACCCGTGTCAAAAAGGATCAGGAAATTTTGTGGTGGTGTCCCAATGCTGATCTCTCCAAAGTAGTAATTCTGCAAAGAACAGTTTATCACCTGTATTAAGCAGCCAAATCTTGTCCTAAGAATAGGGAAGAAGTTGACTCACTAAAAGCCACATTTTTCCCAAATAATTTCCTTAGGGGAGTAAGTAGCTTCTCCTCCAACAGGTTCTTCTTTCCATCTGGAGTCAGATTCTCTCAATATTCCCCACTTTTGTCCCTAATTGCAAACCTTTGACTAGCTGAGTCTGGCAAGACAATTTCTTCTTCCAAACTGTTTTCTACTTTGTATCAGGTGATACCTCCATGGATTTACCATTTTATGCCCGAACATGCAAAGCTGGAGAAGCAATCACTTTCTCCTTTCCCAGTGTTCATCCACTGTTGCAGGGAGTATGGCCGGAGTTGCAAAAGATGAGTCCGTAAACAAAGCGCAGTTAAGTGAAGGTCCTCATACTCGAGTCGGAATGAGGCCCCAACTCCAGAATGAAGCTTCTTTTTATTAGGATAATTGCTAAAGGCTACGTGCATAAAGTCAGCTAAGCAAGTGTGTTAATGAATCTAATGGTTTAGCTTTTCAAGGTTGAATTTCGAGTTAATTGGTTTCTATAACACTAGGAAGGGTCAGGTGTGAAGGAGGATCCGGCCCTGGACAATGTTAATGTCTCTAGTCATTCCTTAGGAGCTGCAGCCACATTCAGCTGTGTAAACATGTCCTAAGACCTTGCACCTTCTCTAGCCATTCCCTTTTGAAGTCTTTTCCTTTGATGCTGTCTCCTACGTCTCCCACAACCCATCTTCCCCACATCTCTCTCCCTCTCTCTCTCTCTCTCTCTCTCTCTCTCTCTCTCTCACACACACACACACACACACACACACTGATGTCCCTTTTTCTCTTCCAGTGTTAAGTATTTCCCCACCATTCTTCTCCCTCTGGTCACATAGTAGCCAAGGTGCCAGGAAATCAAAAATGAGGGTAGCATGGAAATCAAGAGAACTTCACTGAGACACAATTTGAGTTCTCAGCGAATATTGGCCAGTCATGTCACTGCCCTGCCTCTTCATCCACCATCTATAAA